TCACCTGCAGCAGCCGCCCCTGGAGCCGCCACTGCAGCAGCCGCCCCTGGAGCAGCCCGCACCTGCAGCAGCCGCCCGTGGAGCAGCCCTCACCTGCAGCAGCCGCCCCTGGAGCAGCCTGCACCTGCAGCAGCCGCCCCTGGAGCAGCCCTCAACTGCCTCAGCCGCCCTTGGAGCCCCGCACCTGCAGCAGCCGCCCCTGGAGCGGCCAGCAACTGCAGCAGCCGCCCCTGGAGCAGCCCGCACCTGCAGCGGCCGCCCCTGGAGCAGCCCGCACCTGCAGCCCGTCCCGTTCCCCCCCCCCCCCCCCCCCGTGCATTCCGTGGTGCTGGGGTTTGGGGTGCCGAGCATGGGGGTGGCGGGTGTGGGGGTGGCGGTTATGTGTTCCTCCCCTTGCTCCTCCTCCTCCCTCGTCTCCCACTGCTGCAGCTGTCGCTGAGGGGGGTGGGTGCGTGGGAGCCTAGGGTTTAGGGTTTAGGGTTTAAGGGGGGTGCTTTGGGAGTGGAGCTAGGGTTTGTGGAGGGATACAAATAGCAACCGGCTAAGAGTGGAGGTGGTACAAGGCATCATAACACCGGCTGAAGAAGGCATCATAAGTTAGTCTCTTAACAGTGACTACGACCTAATGCATTGGAATCATCTGGGGGTGAAGAAGGCTTCCCCATTGCGTGAGCTGGAGTTGGGTTTAGCGTGAAACTTTCTTTTTTTTTTTTGGTTGGAAGTACGCTATAGATAAAGTCGTATCTGTTTCCATGGGGGACTTAACTACTAACGGGACTAGCAGTTACTCCCCCAAGACCCCCTTTATGGAGGTTTGAAGCGTGCCCTCGGATCCTCCCAGATCCAACGAAAGCCCTCTGTCCACGTCATACCTTTCTTCCCTACAAACAAGTTGCCAAGCGCCCTCGCCTCATCCAAGGCCAGGTGCCCCCAATTTCTGCCGCGCGCTGTCTTTGTCCTTCGTTGTTGCATGCCCTTACATTTGCTGTATGCCTTCATATGTCACATGAAACTTGCCATAATTTTCCTGATCACCCTTTTGTACTGAAACTTTTCTTGTCTGAAAACTGCTCCGCACCTCTCCAGCCAAAGTTGATGAAAAGTTGTAGCAGTCAGCTGCAGCTGCGGGAAACTGGATTTCGTGCACGCGTCCCGAGACAGCAGCTCGCCCACACTTTTCGCTTCCTCCTTTGCTCCCAAAACTTTCAGAGATGCTTAGAGCTTCCCGACAACTCTTCCCACCTCCGGACAGAATATCAGGCAGTGATCTACTGTCTCTTCTGCTCCATAGTGCGCACAACGCGCTAAGCTGCCGAAGAATGGAAGCCTGGCGCCCACCCGTAAATTCTTGCTGTGGAGCCGAAGGAGCACCTCCCTTGCTCTGGATGGCACCACCATTGAGTCCCGGGCAGCCACAGTCCTTGCCCAGTTGATTTCCCCCCCATATTCCTCCTCCCAACAGACTTGCTGCTTCAGCTTCTCGGCTGGCTCCCTGATAGCTCTTCTTAGGGTTTTCAGAGTCACCAACTCTCCTCCCTTGCAGAGCGCCGACTCTCGTAGCCTGGTAAGGTGGTGACCTAGTGGGCCCAACACCTTCTCGTCTACCGTTTTGATCGGAGTGACCCGTGACACACTGATGGCGAAAGGGCTTGCGTACGGAGCTGGTGTTATGATGCCTTGTACCACCTCCACTCTTCTCACCACCAACCTTTTCCCTTCCGTGCGTAAGATTCTCCAGTAGTTCTGCTGCTTCACTACCTCCCCTCCGGTGGGAACCAAGTCTGTTGCTTTAGCGATTTCCTCCGCTGTCCGTTGCTTCAACAAGATGTTTCTCCATTCCACCGGGGCAGCTTGAAAGGTCTTGAGTGGCCACCTAGCTGGGGGGTTGCCTCCCATTTCCCTGCTCAATCGCTCTAGATCCTTGACCACCACTGTCCTGTCCAGATTTGTGATGAGCAGGTCGGCGAGCTTCATCCCCTTCAAGCACTCCGAGCCTCTCTGGGCGCCGAAAAGACTGTTCCCTCTGAAGAGGATCCGCCTGTTGAACCAGAGATGCTCTTGCTCCACCTCCCATCTAGACTGCGGCTCTCCAAACAGTAGGATGTTCCTCTTCCACAGGATTTGCAGGGAAGCTTTCCACCTTTCTCCCCCCTCTTTCCATTGGCTGGCAATATTCTTATGTGCCCACAGCGTCACCCAACCCAACGGCATCTTCGCCGCTTGCTCCATCATCCATTTTTTTATATCACTCATTTCCGCGATGGCTTTACTGAAGCACTGTAGCGCCATGCTGTCTATCCGGTCCCTCGGGCTGATGAGCCCCAATCCCCCGTCTCTCCTTCTTCTGCATGTCAGGTTGTAGCTCCAGAGGACGAACCTCCTATTCAGCGACGACTTCCCCCCCCCCCCCCCCCCCCCAACACAAAATTGTGACATAATCTGCGAATTCTTGTCCAGAAATCAACCGGCGGCGGGTATACCAGCGCCTGGACAAGCAACACCGCCATCGCATATGAGTTAATCACCGCCACCCTGGCTGTCGTTGTAAGATGTTGTGCTGCCCAGTGGCTAAGTGAGCTGCTGACCCTTTCGAAAGCTTTATCCCAGGACGGTCCCGCCTCCCCATTTGGTGTGATCCAAATCCCCAACAGCCTCTCCGGTTGATCAGGCTCTGGCGTCTTGAAAGACGTTAGCTTCTTTAATTTCTGCCAGCGGTTTCTCCCTAGCGGCATTAACACGGCCTTCTCTTGGTTCATGCGCAGGCCTGACACCTCTCCGAAGTCTTTCAGCACCTCTCCCGCCTTTTCCACCTGCGCAAGCCCATTCAGCGCCAGTGTAGTATCGTCTGCATACCCCAGGTATGCTAGCTCCCCCTTTCCACGCTTCCTGACCCCGAGCTTCCTTTTCTTAATTTCCTGACATAATGGCTCCACTGCGCAGATGATCAGATACGGCGCGAGCGGGCACCCTTGTCTCACCCCGACTTCCACCCCCAGCCTTTCTCCAAGCCAACCGTTGAGGAGAAGCCTGGTACCCGCTTCATAGTGTAGCCCTTCCGCCCAGCTGACAAACATCTCTGGGAAGCCCATATCCTTTAGGGTGCTGAAGAGGTACTTCTGTGACACAAAATTGTCAAAATGTTATTATCTAGCTTGTAGTGGGGTGCTCTATAGCGAGTACAACCCTGTTAGGGTTTGCTATATGTATCCCAACTGCTGCTAGTGAAACCCCTCCTTTCTTCATTTCTCTCTTGCCTAGCTAGCTAACCCTAGCTATGGCTCCTCACTATGCTTATGATTCTCACATGCTATCAGAGCATCTACGCTCCTGGCCAGTGGGCCCACCTAACTACTTCCGCTGCTACTCGGTCTGTTGCACGCCCCGTGGCGTGCGACTCCTTTCTGCCGAATTTTTTTTCGGGTTTTCTGACCGCCGTGCGCTCGGGGCGCGCGGCGGTTTTCTGCCCGCCGTGCGCCCCGAGGCGTGCGGCGGTTTCCTACCTTGGGGACCCGCGCGCCACCCCCGCCTTGCTCGTCGCGGCGCCCTGGGGAGCACGCGCGGCCCCCGCCCTGCTCGTCGCGGCGCCCTGGGGAGCACGCGCGGCCCCCACCCTTCACGTCGCGGCGCCCTGAGGAGCCGCGCGCGGCCCCTCGCTGCCCCGTGGTGGCGCCCTGGGGGCCGCGCGCCACCCCTGGAGCCGCGCGCGGCCCCTTGCTGCCCCGTGGTGGCGCCCTGGGGAGCACGCGCGGCCCCCGCCCTTCACGTCGCGGCACCCTGGGGAGCCGCGCGCGGCCCCTCGCTGCCCCGTGGTGGCGCCCTGGGGGCCGCGCGCCGTCCTCCTCGCCGTCCCCCGCGCTCCCACCCCGTGCCACCCGCTTTAGGGTTTGGGGATGGGGAGTGTGGGGGGGGCGGTTGTGGGGGTGCCGGTTGTGTGCGTCGTCCCCTGCTCCTCCTCCTCCTCCGTCTCCTGCTGCTGCAACGGCCGCTCAGGGGGGTGGGTGTGTGGGAGCCGAAGGAGTGGTGCTACGGGGGTGACGTGGGAGTGGAGTTAGGGGTTTAGTAGGGGGTGTGTGTCAAGGGTGTGGGTCAGTTGGAGGAGGTTGTGTGGAGGTAGCTGCCGTGTCGCCTGCAGCGCCTGTAGTCCGTCGCCCTTGCTTCGGTAGCCAGTGAGCCTGTTGCACCAGTCGCCAGTGGGTCCGTTGCTCCTGCCGCTCATCTTAGCCGCGAAGCCAGTCACTCCAGTAGTCCGTCGCCCTTGCTTCGGTAGCCACTGAGTCAGCCGCTCGTGTGCCCGTGCCTCTGCAGCTTCAGTCGTTGCCTCCCATCTTCTCTCCGTCCACAGTACTCTCCTCCTCCTCACTTGCCCTCTGTGATAGCCTCTAGCTTTGCTTGCCATTGTGAACCTGCTGTATGACTGTGTGCTCTGCTGATTACACCCCACTTTGGCTATGGGGGTGTGTCAGAATGTTATTATCTAGCCTGTAGTGGGGTGCTCTATAGTGAGTACAACCCTGTTAGGGTTTGCTATATGTATCCCAAGTGCCGCTAGTGAAACCCCTCCTTTCTTCATTTCTCTCTTGCCTAGCTAGCTAACCCTAGCTATGGCTTCTCACTATGCTTATGATTCTCACAAAAATCGTATGCCTTCTGAAAGTCGACCAAAAGCAGGTACCAATCCCCCTTCCCCGTCACCGCTGCATCAATCACATCTGCTACTGCCGCCACTGCGTCTGATAGCTTCCTCCCCGGCACGAAACCATGCTGGTCCTCCAAGATCACCTTTTGTAGAACTCTTTTCATCCTATTCGCCAGCACCTTCACCACAATCTTGTATACCGTGTTCAGCAGCGTGATCGGCCTGTAATTTTCCAATCTCTCCTTTTCCCCCTTTTGTGCAGAAGGATCGTTACTGCCGTCGTAAGGCTTTCCGGGAGCTTCGCCGACTGCTCAAAGGAGTGTATGAAATGCATCAATCCTGGTCCGAGGATATCCCAATCGCTCTAAAAAAACTCCCTCGGCAGTCCGTCTTGACCTGACGTTTTCCCCTTGGGCAGCTCTGCTAATGCCTTTTTAACTTCTTTTTCTGTCCATTTCGCCTTCAGCACTTCCCTGTCTTTCTCATCCAACCGCCTGCTTTTATCGGTTAACCACTTCTCCCCCGACGTCTCCTTGGCCTTTCCAAAGAGGTCTCGGAAGAAATCTGATGCAGCCAACAAGATCTCCTTCGCCTCGGTCACCATTTTCTCCCCCACCGAAAGCGTTTGAATCTCTGTCTTCGCTCTCCTTGAGGCTATCTTCTCCGTGAGAAACTTAGACGCAGTCTCCCCCTCCAACTCCCCTTGTATGCCTGCCAGTGTCTGCAACCAGTTATTCTTCCCATCCCAGAACGTTTTCAGCTGTGCTTCACTCTTTGCTAGTTGCTCTTGCAGGTTGAGGTTTCCCGCATCACTCATAAAGGCTTTCCTGAGCACCGCCACCTTCTCCTCCAGATGTTCGACAGTGCGAGCCACTCTCCTTCTTTCTCCTTTCGCATATTCCTTTAGACCCGCATTCAGCTTCTTCAGCGTTTTAACAAAGTCACCATCCGCATCCTGCTGTTGTGTTATCGCCTGTGCAATGTTCCTCACTCCTTGACTCTTTGCTATTTTTGCAGGCAGTCTCCACAGGCCGGGACCTTTCGCATTCCCCTCAGACGACGTCAGCTTCACCGAGATTGCAAACCAGTGGTCCGTTATCCCCTTCAGGATAGAGGTGTGGAAGGCTCCGCCTATGCAGCCCAACATTGACGCCGACACGAGTGCGCGATCGATCCTTGAGCTCACTTTCGCCGACCTCGAATAGAAGGTGAACTCCTTCTTCACCGGGTGAAGAGTGCGGAAGGCATCATCTAAGTCCAGCCCAACGCACCCGTTCAGCAGTCTCTGATTCTCAGCCATTGACCCGAGCTTAGAAGATTTTTCCAGCTCCAGGTCTTCCACCAGATTAAAATCCCCCATGAGCATCGTGTATGTTGCTACAGGCATTCCGTCTAAGAAGGGGAACAGGCAGTCCCAGAGGAAGACATTCTTGATGCCTCTGCCTCCCTCTTTCCCTAGCAGCCGGTCACTTGAAAAACTCCTTCCTCAGAGCCGCAACATTTAGAGCACCTTTGCTTGCACAGGTAGCAGCTCCTACCTTGGTGCGGTTGGACTTGTGGCGGAAGGATGCTACATGCGCCGCAGCAAGTTCGAAACTGGCACCATGAGCCTTCTCGCATGCATCCTGGACACACACCCAGTCCTCGCGGGATCCTCTGGTCCACACCAGTACAATTGTAGGATCCTTCAAGATGGCTTTCTGGCGGTCTGTGACTACCAGAGAGGCCGCTGCGCGTAAGTGAGTACAAAAGTGAGTCAGTACAGTATATAGGAATTAAAAACGGAGGTGGATCGCGGATAGGAAAACGTGAGCCGTCCTTAATACCGTTGATCTCATGGATACGTTTAACCATGAGGTTCCATTTGGCAATGTTAGCCTGACGGTCAGTGCCGTAGTCGTCGTGGTAGCGGATCAGGTGATGGCCGTTACAGAAGTCACATGTGACAGAAGGGAAGTGCAGCACGATCTTCTTCCCACGCTTCGCCAGTTCCTCAATGAAATGACGCCACCGGTAGCGGTCATTCTCGTGCTGAACCACCATGCTGCGTATCTTGTTAATATCCAGCCCCGTGATTGGATCCTGAACACGGTGAAAGCCGAACCCCTCCTTGTATGTCGTTTTTCCCCTCTTGACAAGTTTTACCTCCACCAGCAGGCTGTTAACCACATCAGGAGTCACTTCCGCCAGGACACCCTTCAACACCACCTCAATCGCCTGCTGATGGAGTGCGCGCACGTGAACGTACGTGGAGTCCTTCGGAAACTGCCACCTCAGCTCTAGCGTCTCCCCCTTAAGCGTGACATGTTTGATCTTCCTCTGCTTGACATAATACGCGTCATCTTTTGAGGTAAAGACAACTTGCAGACGACCGAAACACGTCTTCGAGAGGTAGGCCGGTGTCAGCTTCTGACATGTCGTAGTGGTTTGAGCTTCAGCAGATAAGTCCTCTTTCCAATGATCTAGGTGAGCCACGATAGTATCAGCCGTCCTAGGCACTTCTGATTCGTGCCTGAAAGGGACAAGAAGCGTTAGCGTGTATTTCAGCTTTGAAGCGATAATGCTCAATGCTTCAGGATCAGCTTCCTCATCCGGATCGTCGCTAGTATAACCCTCATATTCGTCCTGCACCGCAGGTTCATCAAAAATCTCTTCTTCCTGAGAGCGCGTCGGGGAGTCCTGAAGCGTGGACTGAGCCGCAGGTTCGTTGTCATTAGCAGATTGTTCAACCTCGTCTTTAAGGTCGTTGACCTTGAGGGCTGATAAACGGGCTGACAGTGACAGATGAACCAGATCCACAGCCTGCAGATCCGGGTGCTCTATCCCAGGTTGCATTGGAGTCAACAGCCCATCACCAGGAGCCTTCTTATGAGGAGAGGTCACATCAGCAGTCTTAAGGGTCTCCGCTAGCTTGTGAGTTAACTTAAGAGCCGGCTTGGTCAACTTCTTAGGCGGCAAGATGAAAGATTGGAGAGACAAAGCTAGCTGGTAATGTGTGATAAGAAACGAGGAATGAGAATGACTGAGTGAAAGTTGGGTACAAATGCAAACCCTAGAAATGAGTTGTACCCTATATGTGCTACCCCACTATAGCCTACATAGGCTAAGTCATATAAGCCTGACACTTCGCGCGCGGTTGACCTTGACCAACGCGACTTAGTCAACGTGGCGAAACACTCAAAACGAGAATGAAGAAGAGAGGGGGTTCACTAGCAAGCAGTTGAGTACATATAGGAAACCCTAAGTTGGGCTGTACTCACTATTCAGTACCCCAATGCAGGCTAGACAAACATAACATTCTGACACTCCTCATATTCCACAAATTACCTTAAAACAAAAACTCTCATTTTCCTTTATCGTCGGCGAATAGGCGGTAGGTGTCAAATCATAATGTTCTGTAGGCGGCTGTAGTGGGGTAGCCTATATGGGGTACACATTTCTAGGGTTGCATATTTGTACCACATTCCATTCCTTAGTGCATTCATTTCTCGTTCTCATTCTCACATGGTATCGAGCAGGTTCCCTCGTGGGAGCTGTTCCTAGGGCCCACCGATCCTCTTTTTTTTTTTCCTGCCCGGGGCGCGTCCTGCCCCTGCCCGAAGCGCGCCTAGGGTCGCGCCCTTCTTAGCGGCCCATAGCGTCGCCCTTAGCGGCCCGTCGCGTCGCCCTTAGCGGCCCGTCGCGCCGCCCTTACGGCCGCGTCGCGCAGCCCTAACGGCCGCGTCGCGCCGCCCTTTCACAAGCGGCCCGTCGCCGCCCTTCTCCTGCGGCCCGCCGCCCTCAACTGCTGCGGCCCCGCCGCCCTCAACTACTGCGGCCCTGCCGCCCTCAACTGCGGCCCCGCCGCCCTTCTCTGCGGCCCCGCCGCCCTCTGCTGCGGCCCCGCCGATCTCACCTGCGGCCCCGCCGCTTTCACCTGCGGCCCCGCCGCCCTCAACTGCTGCGGCCCCGCCGCCCTCAACTGCTGCGGCCCCGCAGCCCTCAACTACGGCCCCGCCCCCCCTTCTCTGCGGCCCCGCCGCCCTCTGCTGCGGCCCCGCCGCTCTCACCTGCGGCCCCGCCGCTTTCACCTGCGGCCCCGCCGCTCTCATTGGCGGCCCCGCCGCTCTCACCCGCGGCCCCGCCGCTCTCACTGGCGGCCACCCCTCCGCTCTCACCTGCGGCCCCGCCGCTCTCATCTGCGGCCCCGTCACCTCCTGCAGCGCCGCCCGCCACCCGGGCTTCCCGACCCGCCCCACCCAGCCAAGCAGCCGACCGCCACGCCGCCCTGCAGCAGCACCGCCGAGCCGCCCGGGCAACCGAGCAGCCGGACAGCCGGCCGCCGAGCCGCCCTTCAGCCGAGCCGCCCAGCAGCCGAGCCGCCCTGCAGCCGAGCCGCCGTACAGCCGAGCCGCCGGACCACCGAGCCGCACTGCAGCGGAGCCGCCCAACCGCCCAGTAGCCGAGCCGCCGCTCTGCCGAGCCGCCCTACTGCCGAGCCGCCCGAGCTGCCCTGTCCGGTGAGCACAGTGCCTCTTTTGCTGCACTGCCCTCACCCTACTGTTGCATTGCTAGTCTACTGTGGTCATGGCTACCCCTAGTGTCCTCGCTTTTGACGCTGAGGGTCGAGCCATTGACTTTGACGTCTGGGTAGATGACCTGCAGCTGTTCTTACAGTGCGATAGGGCAGACGGTCTCTCTCTCTTTGACCTCACCTCTGGCGCCTCTCCTGCCCCTGCTGCTGATGCTGACGCCACTGTTCGCTCCCAGTGGGCCACGCGCGACGCTGCTGCACGTCTTGCTGTGCGTCGCCACCTCCCTACCTCCGAGCGTGCGCACTTTAGTCAGTACAAGAGTGCTCAGACCTTGTACGACGCTGTAGTTGCGCGCTACTCCTCCCCTGCCACTGCTGCACTGAGCCGCCTCATGCTACCGTACCTCTTCCCTGACCTTGCTGCCTTTCCCACAGTCGCTGACCTCATTACGCACCTCCGCACTAGTGACACTCGCTACCGTGCTGCGCTTCTTGCTGACTTCTGCGCCAAGAACCCCCCCCCCATGTACATCACTCTCTACTTTCTAGTCACTCGCCTCCCTGACTCCCTTCGCGTAGTCAGGGACCACTTCCTCTCAGTCTGTCCCACCACTCTCACTGTTGACCTCCTCGAGAAGTCCCACCTAGCGGCCGAGAAGAGCATAGTCGCTGTAGGGGCCTCTCGTGGTGACCCGCGCACCCCCATCTTTGAGGGGTGCTCCCCCTCCCCCCTTCTGCCCTCTGTTGCCTCTACTGCTACGGCCGACCTCCTTGGTCTTGAGTCGGTCGGTGCGGCGTCCGCCCCTAGCGGGAGACGCCGCTGTGGCAAGGGCAAGGGGGGCAAAGGCGTTGGAGGAGCGAGCGGGAGCGGTGGAGGTGGAGGCGGCGGGGGGAGTGGGGGTGGCGGTGGGAGTGGAGGTGGGGGAGGAGGTGTCGGTGGCGGCAGTGGAGGCGGAGGCGGCAGCGGCGGTGGTGGTGGGAGCGGAGGTGGCAGAGGTGGTGGCGGTGGAGGCGGCGGCGGAGGCGGCAGTGGTAGCGGAGGCGTCGGAGGCGGCGGGGGTGGCGGTGGAGCTGGTCGCGGGTCTACGCAGAGGAGTGGTTCCGGTGGTGGCCCGCGCCAGCAGCAGCAGCGCGGTCGTGAGACCCTGTCCCCTCAGCAGCTCCGTGAGTGGTACACTACACGCCAGCGGGGTAGGGGGTTTTGGTCCGTGCACCTACGTCCTGCGCACCGGCACCCGTGCGGGTGAGCAGTGTGGAGGTGCGCACCCCACCCAGCGCTGCTTTGGCCGCCTGACGGACGCGTGGCGTCGTCAGTTCCCGAAGGCCACAGAGATCCCTCGCTGGGGCGAGCTGTCTAGGGCGGGAGTTGCTATCTATGATCTTGATTTTGATGCTATTCTTTCTGCCATGTATGCTGTGTCTATTAGTGATGAGGGTGATTGTTACCGGTGTTTCCCACCCGATCCGGGCATTGGGACTGCTGCTCTAGGTACTGGTGAGGCTGCTGCCCTAGGTGCTTGTGACGCTGCTGCTCTAGGTGCTAGTGCGTCTGCGTCCTCAGGTACTGGTGAGTGTGCGCTCTCAGGTACTGCGTCGGCTTCGGCCTCCCTCACCTTCACCCTTGACTGTGGGGCTTCTCGCTCCTTCTTTCGGGACCGCACCACACTCACGCCGCTTAGTCGGCCGGTTGCGGTGTCTCTGGCTGACCCCTCTGGGGGTCCTGTCCTGTCTCACTTCTCCACAGCCCTCCCGTGTCCGGCGGCTCCCTCTGGCACCCTGTCTGGTCTCTACCTCCCCTCGTTCTCTACGAACCTGGTGAGTGGTGCTGACCTACAGGATGGGGGAGTACACCAGTTCACTCCTGCGTGTCAGCGGGTGACCCACTGCACAGAGGCTAGCACAGGCCGACACCTGGCTACGTTTACCCGTCAGCCGGGGTCGAGCCTGTACACACTAACCACTGCGTCTCCTCTAGTTGCTGAGTCTCGTAGGGTAGCTGCGTCGGGTCAGGTGTTTGCTGCAGCGTCCAGGTCTGGTCCTGAGTCTGCCCCCTGTTCGCGTCGTCTCCTGTCTCACGAGACTCTCCTCTGGCACCACCGTCTTGGTCACCCCTCTCTGCTTTGGCTCAGAGGCATGGCCTCCCGTCTTCTTGTTTCTGGTCTCCCCCGGTCCCTCCGTCCCCTTCCTCAGGGCCCTGGCCCTACCTGTGTCCCCTGTGTCGAGGGGCGCCAGCGGGCTGCCCCTCACTCCTCCCAGTTTCCTCCGACAGAGGCCCCGCTACAGACGCTTCACATGGACGTGTGGGGCCCAGCCCACGTCCGTGGATAGGGTCACGAGCGCTACTTCCTGCTCGTTGTTGACGACTACTCGCGTTACACCGCGGTCTTCCCCTTGCGCTGCAAGGATGATGTCACTGAGGTGCTGATCGACTGGATCCGCGCAGCTCGTCTCCAGCTCCGGCAGAGCTTTGGCTCGGACTTTCCTGTTCTACGTCTACACTCGGACAGAGGCGGAGAGTTTTCCTCTGGCCTTCTGAGAGCCTACTGTCACGCACGAGGCATCCGTCAGACCTTCACGCTTCCGGACTCCCCGCAGCAAAATGGGATTGCTGAGCGCCGCATTGGCATGGTCATGGACGTTGCTCGTACGTCTATGATGCATGCGGCTGCTCCACATTTTGTGTGGCCGTTTGCGGTGAGGTACGCGGCGCATGAGATCAACCTACACCTCAGGGTCTCCAGGCCGGAGACCTCCCCAGCCTTGCTGTGGACGGGGAAGGTTGGCGATGCGTCGGCGTTCCGGGTCTGGGGATCTCGGGCGTTTATCCGCGACTTGTCTGCGGACAAGCTGTCCCCCCGTGCTGCTCCTTGCGTCTTCATGGGGTTCCCCCCTGACGCGCCTGGGTGGCAGTTCTACCACCCCACCTCTCGCCGTGTTCTGTCCTCCCAGGACGTCACGTTTGACGAGTTGGTCCCCTACTACCGCCTCTTCCCCTACCGCACTCCGTCCCTCCCCCCCCCCCCCCCCGCTCTTCCTTGTACCAGGTCCCCCCCCTCGGTAGACCCCCTCCCCCCTCAGGGTCGTGCCCCTTCAGGTGTGTCCCACGTAGACGCAGTCGAGCCTGTCAAGGTTACCGGTGACTCTGGTGCTGCTGGGGGTGCTGAGACTGGGGGTGCTGAGACTGGGGGTGCTGCGCCTAAGGGTGTTGAGACTGGGGGTGCTGGGCCTGGGGGTACTGCGACTGGGGGTGCTGAGCCTGGGGGTGCTGAGCCTGGGGGTGCTGAGCCTGGGGGTGCTGTGCCTGGGGGTGCTACGCCTGGGG